CTTTCAAAAGTTCTATTTATGTTTAATAAAAACATAGTAACTAAAAGGGCACTGTCAACATGAAATCTGGTCAGCTTTTTTTTTAATGAGCTTAAACTAGTTTCAAGCCTTTTACCTGCCCCAGAGTTGCCCTGCCAATTTTTGTGGTTTTTACGCTAGCATTATCCACCAATATCGGTGCACAAAAGCACTACGCAGAAAGAAGAGAAACTGGCTAAACACAAAGGACATTCAAATCCACAAAGTAAGGACATTACAAAAAAACAGAATGCCAGATTTTTAACAGGTATAACCCAGTATAACTGACGGAGCTAGGCTGACTTCCAGCAATTAAGGGCCAAGACCAAAAAGGATATTTAATTTCCTATTTCATTTATAATCACATTAGATGTTACTTATAAGTAACAAATGTCAAAGAGAAATGGGATTGATTTATTTTATTTTTCAGGCAATCTGGTTGTACACCCTCATGTCCCTCACTATAATATCAATGCAAAGCAGGTAAATACTAGATGCTAGTTTCTTGTTAACGGAAATGACATGGCCTTTTCTCTTTGCAGATTCTTCTTGAAATTTTTCCTCAAGTGCAATCAGAATTGTTTGAAAACAGCAGGGAACCCCAGAGACATGAGACGCTTTCAGGTAAGTGTTAGGAGACTCAGCATTAAGTAAGTTGTCTGCTTTCCTTTCTTTTCCTTTCTTTCACTGATATGACTCATAATAAACAAGGCGACAGTAAATGATAAACCCCGTCAGATATTGTTAAAGATTTTCTTCATTTGCTGCATTTAAGCCTTTTTTACCCTCCTCCCTCCCTGAATCCCCAAGAGGGGAGGGGGGACATTGTACTGTACCAACCAGCGGTGGATATTTGATTTGACACCCTCGGGCAAAGCATTCACACCCACAGCAGGGATCATGTTTGTGATACTTAGATGCCTCAGAATTTTTCAAAGTGGCTCTGTACATGGTACACAAGCAACCTTCCCTTTTATTCCCCACTCGCCCCTGTTTTTAACTCTTGCACGCCCTCCCGTTCAGCCTCTTTAAAAACAGCAGCCAAAAGAGTCATGGTCACTTTAAGATCTCGCACAGCAAAGCAACAAGACCCCTGGGATAGTGGCCCAGCTGCTTTGCAGAGAAATCTGCCACTGGTTTCATCATAGCTGTCGCTGATGTATTGAGAATACCAGCTAATAAAAACACAGAGGGAGGCGAAGTGTGTCAGGTTGCAAACACTGGTGAGGAGAAAGGCAGACACGGTCTCTCCTCTCTCACCCCTACTCTTTTAAGCAATTAGATTTAATAAATAAATATTGCACCTGTAATTCCCCCCTCACAGAAATTAAAACCATTTCTAAGGCTCCCTGGCAAGGTTTCAGGGCATTTTACTGTGGTTAAAAAAGCGACATTAAAAAATGGCTCCTCTGTATCCCATGTACAGGGACAGTCTGGCCTAATGGCAAGTCAGGAGACTGAGGTTCTATTCCAGTCTCGGTAGGGTGACTATCCATCCTGTTTTTCCCAGGACAGTCCCGTATTTAAGGTCTGTTCCCAGCCTCCCGACTTTTTTTTTCCAGTGGGCACATTGTCCCATATTTCCACTGCAGCAGGGGGTGAGGAGCTGCTGAAGACCCGTGCGTTGTCCCTCGCCCCTGCTCGAGGGCTAAAGCCCCACACATTGGCAGCCCCCCCTTGGTATCCTACATTTGGCCTGGGGAAATATGATCACCCTATGACTTGGCCTTTCCGCTCTCTTTGACTCTGAGTAAGTCAGTCCACAGTTCTGTGCCTCAGATTTTCCACCTGTAGATGGGGCTAATGCAGCTCACAGATCTCTTAAAAAAATTCTCTGATTGGCCCTGAGTCAGGAAAATACTTACACACATGCTCAAGTGCTTTGCTGAATCATGACCTTTGAGCTCTATGGAGGCAAAGGACTATAGAATCATAGAGCTGGAAGAGACCTCAGGAGGTCGTCAAGTCCAGCCCCCTGCCCAACCCCAACTAAATCAACCCAGCCAGGGCTTTGTCAAGCCGAGTCTTAAAAACCTCCAGGGATGGAGATGGAGATGGAGATTCCACCACCTCCCTAGGACTATCTAAGTAAGTGAAGCAAATATTTCTTGTCACTATCACAAGTATGTTGCCTCCTTTCATCGTCTGTTCTAGCAAGGATCAGTTTGGTAGGGGAAAGGTTGCTTGGCTGGCTGATCTGCAGGACTTGACGTTATGAGAGCTGTATTTCATTGCTGATTCTGCCACAGGCTTCCTGTGTAGCCCTTTGAGCAAACCATGCCACCACCCCATGCCTCAGTTTCCCCATTTGTAAAATGGAGACTGTATTTCACGGGCGTTTTATAAGGGCTAGTTCGTTTACTTTAGTAGCTAGATATTGCAGTGATAGGCTTAAGATAAATGTCTAAAATACACAGAAAGCCAATATGGCTGTGCCTTTTTTCGAAAAAACTTCACTTGCGTCTAGACTACAGCCGCGTTCTTTCGAAATTAAATCGAAAAAATGCGGCTTTTCTTTCGATGGCGGTAAACCTAATTTCATGAGGAAGAACGCCTTTTTTCGAAAGTGCTCTTTCGAAAAAAGGCGTTCTTGAATGCAAACAGGGCGTTTTTGAAAGAGAGCATCCAGACTGCCTGGGTGCTTTCTTTTGAAAAAGCGGCTTGCTTTTTCGAAAGTACTGATTGCAGTCTAGACGCTCTTTTTCGAAAGAGGCTTTTTCGAAAGATACTTTCGAAAGAGGCTTGCAGTCTAGACGTAGCCTATGAGTGCATGGTGCATGGTCCTGCCATGAGTGCAGGGGTCTGGACTTCTTCTGGTTCTATGGTTCTGTGATTCTATGGCTAGGACTCTATTCTGACTCCTGTATATGCAACGCAAATTCTCAGTCAAGCTGCTCTGCTGCAGAATTTTTGCAGGGACAGCATTGTCTAGGTGGGAAAGTCAACAATGCCTATAAGAATAAGGATAGGGCTGTGAGACTGGCACTCATGTGCTAGACTCCTACCTGTGCATTTGAGTTGCTGAGTGGTCACAGCCAGGTCTCAATAAATATTCTGTGCCTCAGTTTCCCCGTCAATACAATATGAATGAAATGTGCTTGCTTATAAGATCTGTTGGAAGGTTTGGTTCATGGGTCAGTCCTGCCGTTCTTACATGAATAATCCAATTGATGTTGGCAAGGTTACTCATATGAGGAAGGGTGGCAGGACTGCATAAAGTGCTTTAAAGATGAAGGGGCAGGTGGAAAAGAGCATTTTAAAAATCTGACCACTAATGTTGGTGCCCAGAATGAAAGCTAATGGGTTCTGAACACTCCAACATATTGAATCATGGGTGGTTAGAGTTGGAAAAGACTCAATATCTATTCCATACAGCACGAGATATATGGCACACAGAGAGCCACAAAAGCACTAAACATTTCCATTGGTGGCATACAATGGCCATCATCATTAAAGGCTTCATGCACCAAAAATTATTGCGAGTTGGTGGTTGAAATTTTTTCATCAAAATACTTTTGGACAGAAAATGGCTTTATCTGATAAAGTAAAAATGTTCACAAAAAGGATCGTTGTCAAAAACTTTCAGGTTTTCAGTAAAAACCTGAAAAATGAACATTCCAGTTGCCAAAAACAAACACAACAAAAGTTTTCAAGTTGCAAACCTCAAAAAAATCACCGAAAAATGTAAAGACCAAAACAAAACAAAATATAACCCCCACTTGTTCATTTTTTTTAAAACTTTTTTAGTGGGAAAAAATAGTTATTTGTAAATAGACTAATTATCATTCAAGGGGTTCAGATAATTCATCGTTATCGCCCCATCTAAATTTAGGGAATGCTCATGATATCTTGGATACAACACTCTGTTAACTTTCAGCAAATGAACCTTGGCTTTTTAATGGCAACCCCATCAGCAAAGGAACATAGATTGTTATTTTGATCCCAGATGTTGCCTGCCAAAATTCCAAAGAAAAATCTGAGACAGGAAGAAAAATCATCTCATGACTCGTAAATGGAGCCAGCAAGTACGAAGACTGACCAAGAGAAAATGATTTTGGATTGTAGTGAAATGAAACTGTAGGGAATTGTCTTTTTGTCCTGTGTTTTGTACAGGGCTTAGAACAATAGGTGATCCTGGGCAGAAATTGGGGCTGTTAGACAGTACTGCAATAAAAAAATTGAAATACATAAGAATGAGGAGTCCTGTGGAACCTTAAAGACTAACAAATTTATTTGGACATCGGCTTTCTTGGGCTGGAACCTACTTTTTCAGATGCATCTGATGAAGTGAGTTCCAACCCGTGAAGGCAGTTGCTCAAATAAATGTGTTCGTTTTTAAGGGCATGTGTAGACTACATTTTTTTCGAAAGGAGATCTGCAAATTCAGTGCTAATTTGAATATCTTCTTCTGATTGCATTTTCAAAAGCGGGTCTTTCGAAAGTGAACGTAGTCTGGATGCAGTTTTTTCAGAAAAAAACCCTTTTTCGAAGAACCTCATAAACCTCGTTTTTTAAAAAAGGGCTTTTTTCCCGAAACCCTCCTCTCCCCCCTCCCCCGTGTCCAGACTACTTTCACTTTTGAAAGACCCACTTTCAAAAGTGAGATTGGAAGAAGAATTTGCCAATCCTCTTTCGAAAATAGTCTAGACGTGCCTTAAGGTTCCACAGGACTCCTTGTTGCTCATAAATCAATTATAATATTGGTTAGAGGCATCCCCAGAATGAAACTCTGGCTCCCAGAACACCTCAGTTTTAGAGAGGTTCAAATCTAGTTTCAGTGTTTACCGCATTGCCACATCTCTACGGTAGGTGAAACCAAACTCCTGGGTTTGCACTATGCCCTGAACTGTGGAAGAGTTTGGATCTGTATCCAGATTTTCTGGCTGAGGCCAATCTTCAGCCATCAGCCTTGTTCCCAGTGTGATTCTCTTGCCTCAGATTCCAAGGTGCTGATGTTATGGAGCCCGGATGAATTTAAATTTCCAGCTGAACATGCAACAAGGAGACTGAAATCAGCCTTAGTCATTCATATGGTTACCAACGGAATGCCGCCTGGCATGCCTCGCACACATGCCTCTGTTGCTTTTGAACTGCGTACCAAAATCAGCAGCTTATTGGAGAAGAAAATGAGCTGGGATGGACTCCTTCTCCTTCTGGTTTTCTACCTTGCTGCATGCCAAGCCTGAAAACGGAAGCCAAATGAAATTCTCTAGTTTTGTTTCATAGAGCTGATTTGAACTCTCTCTGCTCTCTCTCTCTGTACAGGTTTAGACCCTTAGAGTCACTCTTAAATCTCGAGGGTTAAACCCAAAACTTTGTCAAGAGACTCACTCACACACCCCTGGTTTCCCTAGTTCTGTCTCAACACCATGATGCTAGCATGACTTGAGTCCAAAATAATGGCAACATCTTGTTTATTTCAGTGAGAGCAGGATCTTAGTCCAGATTTGCTCAGAAACGTTCATGAGCTTCCAGACGAGCCAGGGCTTAGTTCCCAGTTTGTCAACGAGACTGAAATTTAGGTGACTTCAAGGACAAGGAAAATGTTGTGAACAGCTCAATATCAGTGTGAATAAGTTCCATGAGGGTTAGGTAAAGATAGAAAATGAATGTAGGAAATGATT